GAGTAAAATAAGATTTTATCAATCTTCAATACCTCTTGGTACTCTGGTAGTAGGGCTTTTTATCTGCTTGTATAAGAATAATACTAATGTTCTACGCATTCTCCTGCGTTGTTGCAGTGAACCAGAAAAAAATGGATCAGTTTTATGAGTTTAGCATGAATTCATTGAGATTACCTATTTTGCAGACAGCTTTTAGAGTACAAACATAACTTGTACCCATTTTGGAGACAGCTTTTAGAGTACAAATAAAACTTGCTTGAGATCAGCAAAGTATTGAGTGTTAACGTTCGTACCAAAGAGATGCTTATCTATCACTTGTGTAGCTCCCTTTGTCTCGTAGCTCGATTGCATGAACCTGAGATTGTATGCCAAATTTTAAAGATTGGGTCCTAGTGCTTATTGGCACAGCACATCCTAAATACACGAGATACTGGTATAAAAGATACTGAATTTTGTGATAAATTAAATTCTAGAAAATTTCCAAAGTAATCAACAAATTTGGGGAGGGTAGTAACACATTTCAGACGGTTCTAAAAATAAACTAATCATGCAGTACTTGGTATAAAGAAATCAGGCTTGCAAAACTATGTACAGTAATGATACCATTATCTTCTATCAAAACAACAATGGAAAAGAACATTTCTCATTGGTGTATTGCTGCTGCCTTCCCATTGATATGCATTGCAGAAAGTTAAAATCACAATCCAACTAGGAATCAAATAACATCCTCCCTCAAAAGTCTGATGGAAATTAGAGTGACAAAGTAATCATAACGAGGAGAGAAAAAAAAAAAACCTAAAGCAAACGATGATACAGGGAAGGCTTTGACATAATAATCTGCTTCAAGAAAGCTTGAACGTTGCATTGAAATATATGCCAACCTGAAAATGGAGGGAAATGGATCATCCATACAAACAATTTCTTACATCAAGAAAGATTATACTGAGAATGTTGAAACTCTTGTGTTTTTGTATGGAAGTTGCGAGTATTCTTCCTCATTGTCAATAAGCATGAAATCACTGCGCTTGTAAATTTCTGTCTCAAGCTCTGTCATTTTCTTTGCGTTCTTAGATCATCCAATTACAAAACCTAAAAGACACTGCTGGGCCAGCCTCCATTTTCATGGGCCCATCATAATCTAATAATCATGGTTCATGGGATAAAAAGATACCACTCGGATCATTGTGATAAAAAGCCAGTTTATGGGTTCTTTATAGGCCCTTTCATTTTTTATATGGGCCTTAATCTTGAAGAGAAAGAAGAATTATATGTCAGAAGCTCTTTCGAGTCTTCTGCGTTTCTTCCTCTCTAGTCTGTGCGGTCTGGTTCTGGATATTTCCACGAAACAAGTTGCTTTGCTTTTTGACTTTGACTATTCACTTTGGTTGTCTTCTTGATGTACGGGGGACTTTGTTAGGTGATGAATTTGTCTCTTTTAGTTGTTTTGAAATGAAAGGAAAGTAGGAAAGTTGGTCCTCACGTCCTGAATTAGTGGTCAAAACCTTTAATTTAGTGAGATTGAAACCCTAAAAATCCTATTCCTATTTTCTCAAATTGCCCTGTTAAAAAAAAAAAGAAGAAAAGAATATTTAATTTTTATTTTGTTCATGAAGATTAAATTGTGAATTTTTAAAATTATTATGTCTCAAATATCCTGTGCTTCTTGAAATCTGTGACGATTAACGAAGTTCTATTTTTGTTAAGATATTTTATTGTGACATAGTGAAAAAGGCCAGTTTATGGGTAAAGGCCCTTTCATTTGTTAGATAGGCCTTAATCTTGAAGAGACGGAAGAATTCTTAATCAGAAGCTCATTCAAGTTTTCTGCGGTTTTTCCTCAACAGAAATTTCTTTTAAAAAGCAGGACGAATTGCATTTTTCCTGTACTGTCTGGCTCCCGATATTTCCACGAAATAAGTTGCTTTTCTTTTTATACTTTTTGACTTTGACTATATACTTTGGTTGTCCTCCTGATGTTCGGCAGCCTTTATTAGGTGATTAATTTATCTAGTTTAGTTGTTTTAAAAGGAAAAGAAGATTTAGTTTTTGTTTTGTTGATGAAGATTATGTTGTGAACTTTAAAAATTATTATGTCTCAAATTGTCAAGTATTTCTTGAAATTTTTGATGATTAATGAAGTTTTATTGATTGGTAAGATATTTTATTGTGTATTGAAATTTAGGAATTAAAGATTTTAAAAATAATAGAAGTATATATCAATCTTAACACTTAAAAAAGTAAAATTAAAATTAAAAATTAAAATTATTTTATTTTATTTAATTAAAATTTAATTTTAAATTTAAAAATTAATTAAAATTTTTAATTTTAAATTGAGATTTTATTTTTTCAGCATAAATTGAGATTTTAATTTTTTTAAATTAAAACTAATACATATTAATATCTTAAGGAATATTATAAGTATAAAAAATAATTAATGGAAATATAAGGAAAAATGAAAAACTGGTAATAAGTTTGGAGTCTGAGATAATAACTTCGTCGAGGTAGGAACTAAACATTTCTGGGAAAATTCGGACCGTTTTTCTACAAACTGCTTTTTAGAAAAACCGCGTTGTAAAACGCGTACAGCGCGGTTTTTCGAGCCATATACATATGGTAATCGATCCCCGAGTTAACCAATAAAAATGGTTCTTTTATCCAACGCAGGAGTTCCGACTTATGTTCCAAATCGGAAAAGGAAATCTCGATTGATCGTCGGTCTGAAGTGGGACGCAGAAACCGGCGCGCCACTAGCTACTCTCTTCGCTCAGGTTGCTCTGTTCGCCGCATCGTTGTGTCTAAAGGAAACGAGATTATGTTCAGAATACGACCACAGTGGAATAAAAACGGCGATCTTGTACCATATCTGTGCCGTCCTGCTATGTTATACGTATCGGCTGAATCGGCTAAGATTCTTCCGTCGAAGATGCGGCATTAAGGTAAATTCAACAGCAAACATTATATGCTTGATTCTTGGGATTCTTCTGGAGAAGTTTTATGAGAAATCATTGGCTAGCCTCTGTTTGGCCCTGATCATGGCAATCTTGTTCTTGATTTTGGTGGTGATTGTACAACCGAGGACCGACCTTGGGTTCTTTGGTTTCCTAGTCGGAGCCACTGGATCAGTTGCTTACAACCTCTTCCAACTCAAGCTCGGAACCTGGGTAGTGTTAGCCGTCTGCTTTGTACTATTGGCTTTCAAGTTTTGGTTAGATGAGAACTGGTTGGAGCCAGATATGAGGCTAAAACATGACGATCTTTTAGGGCGCATCCATCGACTTTTGACCCTCCCCGATCCGTTTCCGGCTCCTGCTCCTGTAATTCAAAGCATTGACGCACTACTAGTAGCAGGTTTCTACGTTGTTTGGGCGTCTGCTTTTTTGAGCACCAATTGTCTAAATTCGGAATCTTGCGCTTCATGTTCTGCCATGGAAAAGCTCAAATATGAGGCCATTTACGTTGTGTGGTTGTCCCCTGCTTATATCCATCGTGTATATTCTTTGTTCCAAGTTGAATTTTGGGTACTTTGGCCAAAGACGATGCGTTTTATGAAAGCAATACTACGGGTAATGTTCCAGCAAGCTTGCTCCCTAGCAACAGATACACGTTTGGCTCTGGCATCAAATATTCTAACTCACCCTCGCCTACCACGATGGATAAGGTGGTTCCCACCTGATTTCCCTTTTCTCAAGCTGAATACGGATGGGGCACTGAACTATTCCTCAGGAAGAGCTAGTGCAGGTGGACTTATTCGGGATCATGGCGGTCGATGGATTCATGGTTTTGCTATTAACATTGGGCCACAAACTAGCTACATGGCTGAGCTTTGGGGATGTCGGATCGGCCTTCAGCTAGTTCTCGAGCTGGGTATTACTCACTTGGTTCTAGAAATGGACTCGCTCTTGGCTGTACAGATGATACAGGCGAGGAAGGCCGGAGATGGCCAAACTTCGGTGCTATTGTTGGACATCTTTCACTTGGTGAACTCCTTTGAGGTTTGCATAGTTCAACACACGTTGAGGGAAGGCAACATAGCAGCAGATTTCATGGCATCTATCGGACAAGATCTCAACCACGGCACCACCTTCTTTCCGACTCCACCACCAGATATCAGCAGCATCCTCCATGGGGATAGCATAGGAACTCTATTCCCCAGGATTTAGCTTTATCTAAGCTTCTTATGTACCAAAAAAAAATTAGGCCTTACTCCCTTCCTCGTAAATTAGCTATCATATTTTTTAATTATAATTTTATTATTTTAAATTAATTAATTTTTATTTTTTAAGATAAACTATTATTTTTGTCTTGTTTTACTTTTATCGTTATTTTTTATTTTAATTATTACAGTATCATAAAAGAATATTTATTTATGTTTTATTTTTATTTTTAAGTATAGTATAGCTAAACATATGCCAAACTATTTTAAATCTTTAATTTAAAAAGAAAAATAAAAAAACAAGTAGCATTTTAAGAATCAGAAAGTATTTGTCATGTTTTTTGCTTGGAAACAGGTAACTGCCATGTCACGGTGGTTGCGAGCTCGAACAAGGCCTGCCAAGGTACCTAATCATATTGTAAAAGGTATTTGTTATGTTTTTTGCTTGGAAAATTAAAAGAGATGATCCTTTTGTATGTAGGTAGGGAAGGGTCTGTCCAAGGGTGAGACGGCTCTTCAACATTGGCTAGAAGCTGTAAGCCTATAAGCTTCTTCCTTATAGTTTTCATGATTTGATTTCTACTCCATTTCAAAGCCATGCTGCCTTGAAAATTTTGGTTTTGCTAATTCAAGCTAATGCAATAACAAAATTTTCTTTTCATTTAATCTCACGTCTCATCTTATGTTCTTCCTCCTTTTGCAGAGCGCTCCACGCTATCGTTATGGATACAATTTGCACTTCTATTATGATATTTGGTCTGAAAGCAGGAGTACTCAACCTTTTTTCTACTGGTAATGTGCTCTACAAAATTTACCTGGTATATGATATAGTTGCATTAGGGAAACTTGCTGATTTTCACCATACCACACTGAAGAACATTTTTCACCCTTAAAATGAAGGTTGGATGTTGGTGATGGTAAAGAATTAAATCTAGAGCAGTGCCCCAGGATCAATCTGCAACGTCAATGTATTATATATCTTGGACCAGTAAGTCTTATATATTGCCCTATCAATGTGAAGTGCACACCTTAGACCAATCACATTTAATTTCTACTGCAGATATGTGACAACAAGCTCTGTTGCATAACCTTTGTACATCTCTTTATGCTTTTCAATTTTGCAGAAAGAGAGGGAGGCATATGAAATGATTGTGGAAAGTGGAAGACTTGTTTACAAGCAAACTGGAAATCCTCTCAACACTGTTGAGGGATCTAAGTGGATTTTTGTGCTGAGCACATCTAGAGCCTTGTATGTGGGGCAGAAGAAGAAAGGTGTTTTTCATCACTCAAGCTTCTTAGCTGGTGGTGCTACGATAGCTGCTGGAAGACTGGTAGCTCATCAAGGGGTCCTTGAGGTAATTGTTATGCAAAAACCAACTACAGACTAGCTTCTTTTTTATTTTATTTTATTTTATTTTAATCTCTAAATATCTTGCCTTGAGGCTGAAATATTCTTATCTTCTTCAGGCAATTTGGCCCGACTGTGTTCAATATCCTCCAACCGAAGACAACTTCAAGGAATTCATTACTTTCCTTGAGGTTTGCAATGTGGACTTGAGCAATGTTAAGGTAATTCAGCTTTTAATTAGACATAAACCAAGTTTCACATCGGACAGAAATATAATAGCTGACGTTCTTCATTGCTCAACAGAGATTTTCAATATATGATGATGAAGGCTCACTCAAAGTGACAGTGGATGGATCCAAGCAAGAGGAGACCAAAAATATGTCCACGATAGCAACATCAACAAGCAAAAAGGAGGTGGATGCTAATGTTTCCATTCATGATGAATGCATTGGACCAGATCATGAGCAAAGTAGCATAGCTGGCAATGCAATCAATGCTGAACCACCAGCATTCAACGTGGGAAAGCTTTTGTCATTGAAGTGGACTAGTGGAGTTGGTCCCCGTATTGGGTGTGTTAGAGACTACCCGGCTGACCTGCAATCTCGGGCACTTGAACAAGTCAATCTATCTCCAAGGTCCTCCCCTGCCAACTTTGGGTGTGTTAGAGACTACCCGTATTGGATATTGTCTAACTATTTTACTTGTTTCATAAAATAATATTTTGCAATGAAATTAATTGTTGTGGTAACCAATATTTCACAGTGAGTAATTGTTGGGAAATAAATGTTTAAGCAACAACTAAAATCATTACAAATTGCATTTTTTGCAACAACTATTGTAACAAAATATTATTTAACAAAACCATTCACAATTGTTGAAAAATACCTCTTTTAGTGATAATTAAAACATTGCAAAATGCACTTTTTTGCAACAACTTTTATCATTATAAATATTTTAAAAATATATTAGTTGTTATTAATAAATATTTTTAAAATTTTTAAATTTTAAAACTTAATATAAAAAATTTAATTTCAATTTAAAATATTTTCAAATATAAAAAAATATAAATATTTTCAAAGAATAACAAGTATGTAATTTCATTTAAAATTTCTAAAAAGAATGCAGGATACATAGCCTAAAAAGA